ATTTAGATCGGGAGACCGTGGAGGCCATGCAATTGGTCCATCCCTTCCGATCCAGCGTATCTGGTATACCTGATTCAAAAAATCACGGACTTCCGTGCTCAACCACATCTTCAAGAAGGCCGGCAAATCATTCCGAAGAAATTCCAAATACTGGTGATGATTCATCCGATCTGGCAATATTAACTGTCTAATTAGATGTTCATCGACAATACCTGTCCATACGCTTAAAGAAAAACGATGTTGGAAGTCTGTCTGGACCACTGCGTAAGGATTCTCAAAGGACCAAACGGGTGTATTATGAAGATTGGTTATCCCATTGTGAGTAAAAATAGCTTCATCGGTGACCAAAATATCAGCTGTAAAATGCAACAACCACTCACAAAAGCTTACTCTCAGTAATCTGTAGGTAGCAACGCCTGAACTCTCTGGACGTGATAAGGGTAATATGCGCCACGCTGTTGCATGTGACACTTCTGAGACTTGGGATAACTGCCTTGTACTTATTCCCGGAGTTTCTTCCACAATATCCAAAATTTCGTCTTCGGCATTTAAAACGCGTTGTGGGTGAACCCGATCCCCATCCACTCCACGTCTGGGGCACAAATCGCCACTAGCACGTGCACGTAAAGCAATTGTACTAAATGTTTCGTGATTTAGTATGTGCCTATTCAGAAATTGGTGTGCATACAAACGAGATGCCGCTCGCGAATTTTGCCCTGCTTCTCCGTACGCTAAAACAATGTCCACTAACTCCTCATTAGTGTACACATGTGCCATTTTAATTAATAAATAACTAAAAACATAAATTCGCAGAATACTTTCTTATTTAGCTTCACAAAAATCGACCGTTCTTCATTCAGATCACCCACGATACAGATTAAACCTTATTTGCAGGTTCTCATCAGTATCAAAAAACCAAAAATTCCTGGTATTTTGTCTTCGTCAGTTGTTGGTACAACATTTGCTGCAATAAATTGTTAATGCGTGTTCTAATATCACGACGATGAACGCAAAATACCGATATTTATTTTTCAATTTATTATTGAAACTCAGGTTTATAACTTAATTTCTGTAGAACTTTTATTACATTTTTTTTTTGAGAAATCAACTTCTTTCGTAATAGTGCAAGTGTGGTTAAAATTTGTCGGATAAGTTGTGAAACACCCTGTATGTATGGAATACCTAATAATTTGGGATCCTCATAGCAGATACGGTGTCTTGGTATATAGCTTCTGCCTGCGCGGTTGCTTCGGTATAACAAAAATGTGATCTATATTTAGATTTAGGAGTTGTTGTGTCGGATAGTATATCAAGGTCCGAGCATATCAAATACTAAACGACTAAGTCCAAAATGAATCGGTATCTTATTGAGAGATCATTTGTGCTGCGACAGTTCTACTGCTGGGCTCATGTATACGTCATACAACAGGCCATAATTGAGAGATTAAACGAACTTACCTAAGTGAAGTTTAATCCTAATTATATGAGCCTCGCCGAAATAAATAAGTATACGTGTAGTAGCTCTGCTTGCAGTCAAATCTCACACAGTTCAAAGCAAATTTTCTCACCCTGGATACAGTCCTGTCCCTTCGCCACTCCGTCGAACCCTCATACCTGGTCAAAGCATTGTTGCAACATATTGGGGGGGTAGAGTAAAGGGCGGGAGCTTATTTATTTCGGCGAGGCTCATATAATTAGGATTAAACTTCACTTAGGTAAGTTCGTTTAATCTCTCAATTATATTGCGCCTCGCCTTCATAAATAAGTATACGTGTAGTAGTTCAAAGTAAGTTGCAACAATTTGTTTAGTATCATCAAGTTACATATGCGTAATTATATACATGTAAGAAACGGGGTAGATTTGATTTGGCTTTTACCCCAAAAAAATAAACGTCTATCCCCAATCAATACTTTATTCCGAGTACCACCATTTACTTCGTATTTAGGCACATTTTGTTTGGCTCTAGGTACGGGACTGTCGTCATCTTCGCTACTACCTGCGAGGGATCGCAGGTAGTAGTCGTCCCCGGACCCCCCGTGCTTCTCTTTCCGTCGCAGAAGATAACGATATCATTTCACCCTTTTGAGAGGGAATTATGGGTAGTCACAGCGGCGCCGCTTACATACATATTAGTCACTGCAAACTTAACAGTGATTACTATTTCTCTATAGTGAACAAGACCAACTATTTCTAATTTCTTTAACATTAGGCAAAACTGAACACTGCTTCCGCAAAGTCAGACCTACTAGAAACCAATGGTTTTTGATAAAATCTTGCGAATGTTTTAGATTTTTCCGTCCACCCCGCGGCCAACCGGATGCTATCATAGCTTATCCCTTTCCTGGAGGCGGTAGAAGTAGCTGAATGTCTAGTGCTCTGAGCACAAAAAAGAACTTATGTCTGTACCACTCTTTAATAACATAGTTTTTAACCATCTGCTGATAGTTTGAGTAGATGCTATTCGATGCGGCCTTCTAGAACATAAAAACAAACTCAGTTCGTTACCTCGAATAGCCTTTGTTTTTTCCAGATATAACAGTAACGTTTTGGCTGGGCAAATATTCACATAATCCGGAAAAAAATGGCAAAACTAATGTGGGCTGCATTTTGTTAACGCCAGATGTCTTTATCCTTTTAGATATGCGGATTTCTAACCGAGCTGAGAAATTTTGAATATTACACACTTCCATACTAGCTAATGTTTGGACGCGTTGGCCTGTTGCTAAGGCGAGGAGCATGGCCGTCTTGAGAGTTAACTGTTCTAAAGTAGGATTCGTAGAATATGAATTTTTTATATGGTTCAAAACTATGCATGGATCCCAGGTGTTGTTATACTTAGGGAGCGGGGGCCTTAAGCGACTCAGTCCTTTGAAAAATCTTATAATTCTGAAATCTTCACTAAGATTTGGCCCTAGAATCTGTGAAAGCGTTCCTCTATATGAATTCAGAGAGCTAAAAGAAGACCCCTTATTGAAGTGAAATGTTAGAAATTTAAGTACTGCAGAAAACCGACTGGGTGTAAATATTTTTTCTCCATTGCAATATTCCCACCAAAGCCTCAAGCCCACGTTGTACTGCTTAATTGTGTTATCCGTAACTGATGCAAGACATATATTTAGCGATTCCGAGGGAACGTCCCCCAACAACAACGCCCGCCTGATACAATTCCTGCCACCAGGGTAGTCTTTCTCCAAAGGGGGTGTGGTGACCTGTTGAAAGACATTAACATCTTGGATGGACGAAATTTTATTGCATTACATTCTAAAAGGGATGTAAACACAGATAGCAGGGTTGAGATGTCCATAGGGGGACGACAAGAATGCCCCTTGCTCCATCGGGAATGATTTTATTCAATACCCGCAAAATTAGTGAAAATGGCGGAAATGCATAAAAATAGAGCTTTCCCCAAATCAACGTGAAAGCATCAATTGCCATTCTCTCGGGGTCTCTCAACCATGAAACAAAGTTTTTGCATTTTTCATTAATTTTACTCGCAAACAGGTCAATTTCAGGCTTGCCAAACTGTGCAACTATGTTTTCGATTGCAGATACGTCCAGGGACCACTCCGTCTCGGTTTCCAAACTACGACATTCCCAAATCTGCTTCCTTATTATCGGCTGATTTTATGTATGCCGCATAAAGGAATAAGTTTCTTGTTTCACACCATTGCCAAATGGTGCGCGCCAGACTATTAAGTTTTGAAAATCGCACACTACCCATTTTATTAATGTAGGCCAAGGCTGTGGTTATCCACCCGACACAGGATGTTACAATTAGATAGGTTAGCTGCAAAACATTTTAGCCCAAAGAAAACTGCCAACAGTTCTCGATAGTTTATGTGATGTAGTTTTTCAATGTCCGACCAGAACCCGTGCGACTTTTTCCCAAAGCAGCTAATACCCCAGCCAGAGTCTGGTGCTTCGGAAAAAATTTCTATAACAAACGAATCAACTTGAATGAAGTTTTTTGCCTGTGGCAAATTATTAAACCACCAGTTAAAATCGTGAATAAGTGTTGGGGAAAGTCGCATGATTGCATCAAAATTCCCTCTCGACTCGAATAATGCTAAGTGTTTTTCCCGTTCGAAGTTTTTTGTGTACAACCATCCGTACTTGATTCCAGGACAGATACTGACTAGTTTCCCCAACAATCTGGCAAATTCTCTAATGCTACACTTTTCCACTGATGACATTTTTGCACTAGCTGTCTGGATTTTAAAACTTTTTCATGAGGAATACGAATAGACATATCTATCGAATTATAAATGAATCCAACATATTGAATTGACTGGGATGGGGCTAAAATGGATGTCTCGTAGTTTGGCAGGAAGCCTAATGAAAGTAAGAGGTTTAGGGTCTCCTTCAGATTAGAGAGACTCTTCATGAGTGTTACCAAACAAAAGAATATCATCCCAGTAAATAACAGATAAAAACCCTTTTGCTCTAAGAGAAGTAATAACGGGTTTCATTAATTTTGTAAAAATGTAAGGTGCTATATTTAGCCCAAAGGGCATACACCTAAATTCATATAGCTGCCCAGAAAATTCGAATCTTAAGCATTTCCTGTATTTTTTGTGCACTGGTATTAGAAAATACGCATCTTTTAAGTCCACCTTACACCTGAAACAGTTGCGGCCTAACTTCTTTACGGTGCGACTATCTTCCATCATAAGATGGCTGCAATGTCTATGTCTGTTGACATTTTTCAGATTCAGAATGAGACGATTAGAGCCATCGTTTTTTGGCCTGAGAAAATTTTTAGGAATGTACTGCTTATCACTCGCCGAAGCCATGGTAATGGCTCCTGTTAGTAGTAATTTAACTATGTAAACTTGGATAAGCTTGATCCTGAAGTGACCATGAGGTAACTGCAAAATTCTGTTGTTTAGGATAATGTCTAAATGGTAACTTTAAACCTTTAACCCAACTAAGGACTGATTTATCCTGACAAACCCTAAGCCAATTGGGGTAGAAATGTTTAGGCCTACCAGCGACACGCACCTCAGAGGTTGGATTCATTGCCAACTGCGATTCTTACGAATCGATTTTGCCGGCTTTGGTTTTATGGTCTTCCTGGACAGCATTAATCTGCTTGCATCATTGAGCAGTTTGATGTATTTTTGGTTGCCCCCCCCCCTCTTCAGCCAACATTAAGCTAAAGAGTTGGCCCGTAGCGGCTAAACATGCGGCTGTTTGACCCTGTAGAGCCATCAACCGAGGGTCCCTTTGAAGGTGATATCGCCTTGACAACCATCGGTTTAAGTTATGGGGCCGCCATGTATTGAAAATTCTCGGGGAGAGGATACTTGTTGCAAAGTTCCTTTTTGTCCTCTTCAGACAACCCCGCGGCCACAGCTTTTTGCCAACGGGAAACTAAATCTTTGTGTAAATTCGGCCCATAAATGAATGTGTTGGTATCAGGTGTGACCAGAATTTCGACGACATCTTCTGAGAGCTCGACACCAGGAGGAGGGGCGTCTCCTTGCCCTGGAAGAAACAACATTTTTATTCCACCTGGATGGGTTAGTGTATCATCAACACTAATGTAACACATTGTCCCAACTTGACCAGAAACTGTGAAGAGCGGGATAAACGGAAGGTATGCCCATTGATACCTTATCATCCAGCCAAAAACAAAGAAGGTACTCTCATCGATACCCGGCAAAATACGTAAGTACACTCATTGGTACCAGGCGACATAATTGGGTACACTCATTGGTACCAGACGAAATAAATAGGTACCCTCATCGATACCTGCTTAGAGAATGGGTATACTTCCTTGATACCCTGAAGTACGAAAAAAAGGTTCGAATGTTACTCACCTGGATGTGTTAGTGTACCATCAACACTAATGTGACACGTTGTGCCAACTTGACCAGAAACTGTGAAGAGCGGGAAAAACGGAAGGTATGCTCATTGATACCTTATCATCCAGCCAAAAAACCAAAAAGGTACTCTCATCGATACCCGGCAAAATACGTAAGTACACTCATTGGTACCAGGCGACATAATTGGGTACACTCATTGGTACCAGACGACATAAATAGGTACCCTCATCGATACCTGCTTAGAGAATGGGTATACTTCCTTGATACCCTGAAGTACGAAAAAAAAGGTTCTAATGTTACTCACCTGGATGTGTTAGTGTATCATCATTACTAATGTGACACGTTGTCCCAACTTGACCAGAAACTGTGAAGAGCGGGATAAACGGAAGGTATGCTCATTGATACCTTATCATCCAGCCAAAAAACCAAAAAGGTACTCTCATCGATACCCGGCAAAATACGTAAGTACACTCATTGGTACCAGGCGACATAATTGGGTACACTCATTGGTACCAGACGAAATAATTAGGTACACTCATCGATACCTGCTTCTCACCAGCCGAAGGTAAACAAATCGGTGAAACCGTGCAATTTGAAGTGTGGCCCCCGGACCGATCCATGATACTCGAACCAGGGGGAGTCCTTGATCTAGATGACAGAGAGGACTCCGACGACTGAGACGATGAAGACAAAGACGACACTACTCTCCGATTTCGTTTCCGTACTGGGCTTCGGCTGCGGCGATATTCAATTTTCCGCAATCTCTTAGGAATGTCTCGAAGACAATTCATTACATCACCCACATTTCCCGCACTTTCCGCGCTAGACTCGCGTGAGGCCGCGGTGCCTTCGCTTAATTGACCTCCCGGGCATGACACCCACAATTTGAAAAAATCCCGGCACCAAGGTACGCACCAACCGGAAACGAACCGCTCGATTCGACACACAAACAAAGTATGAGGGTTCGACGGAGTGGCGAAGGGACAGGACTGTATCCAGGGTGAGAAAATTTGCTTTGAACTGTGTGAGATTTGACTGCAAGCAGAGCTACTACACGTATACTTATTTATGAAGGCGAGGCGCAATATAATGGAATTCGCTTCCCCTCTTATAGAACCATTATCATGTTAGGTATTCAACGCTACAACGTGACCGAGACTTGTTCGAAAATATACCGAGGCGAGTTACACGCATCCTGTGCGGTATCCTACGGCCTTGTTATGAGGAGAGGCTGGACCTATAATGTTGGACCAGCGAAAGATTGCAAGCCGAAAGAATGCGGACAAAAAATTGCGAAGTTGTCAGATGTTCTACATAAAATGCGGTCCATACATATTAACATATTTAAGATATAGAATTGTTCCGCTGAATTTGGCAATGTAGCTGGAAAACCCAGGCCGCAGGTAAACATCCGGTCGCTGATTGGTCCAAAACTCTTATCTTATCTGAAACTAGAATAACGTGCCGATGGCACGGTCATTTATAAACCTACTCCCATAGGCGTAGGCAGTTGGCAAATACTTTGAAAATATAATTTACTGTTTAGTGGTGATAATGGAATTCAAGCATGGGAAAGTTATTCACAGCCAGGCAAGGGAAATAATAGCAAACGTGATACGTGCTTGCGATGCAGAAGCGGCTAACAATACTTTCGTTTATCCACTGGTAGCTAGAAATGCAAGGGCGGCATATTATACGGGTGTTAGTGAACGAACTATAAGTAAAATTAGAAAAGAAGATAAAGACAGGCAAAATGCAACCTCCACACAGCCTTTAGCTTCTCCCGGAAAAAAGAGATCACGCCCTTCTGTGATCCAAAAAATTGATGGAGTCGATTTTTCCATTATTCGGAGAATGATAGAAAAATTTTACTGTGATTTTAAAGTGGTACCTACTTGTAGTAAACTTCTAATCAAACTGAAGGAAGAAATGGAATTTCCATTTGGTAAAGAATCGTTGAGGCTGCTTTTAAAAGCAAAAGGATTTTACTGGCGTAAATGCCACAACAAAAGGAAATTACTAATGGAAAGACCCAGTATTTTACATTGGCGATACAAGTATCTTAGGTCTATTAAAAAGTTCCGGGAAGAAGGAAGGCATATTATTTATTTGGACGAAACTTGGGTTGATAATGACCTCACTTTCAAGAAATGCTGGCAAAGCGAAGAAATTATGGGTGTCCTGAGCAATATAAGTTCTACAGGTAATAAAGTTTCTTTCACCTCGATTTTGCTTATTATACATTTTTCTCAATTTTGGAATATTCTTAATAAGTGCTCATTTAATTTGTCTAATTGAATACATAATCCCTTGCAAGTATTTTTTTCTCAAAAATATGTTTTTTATACATAGTGATTCAAAAAGGTGTTGGCAAACTTAAAATAACACTAAAATGAGGCTATTTATTCATTTCCAGGACGACTTATAATTGTTCATGCGGGTTCGCAAGATGGTTTTGTTCCTGGAGCCTGTCTCATTTTCAAGGCTGGCTGTGCCACTGGTGATTATCACGGTCAAATGAACCAAGAAAATTTCACGAAGTGGCTTACTGAAAAACTATTTCCTAACATTCCTCCTAATAGTATTATAATAATGGATAATGCACCTTACCATTCAGCTTTGGAAGACAAGCCTCCAACTAGATCTTCTCTAAAAAGAGACATCATCACGTGGTTGAGCAAAAAAGGTATAGAGCATGATCCTAATGCTAAAAAAATGGAGCTTTATGAAATAGCTTGTCTACATAGGCCACCATCTGATGAGAAAAATTATAAGATAGATAATTTAATAAGAAGTTTCGGACACACCCCACTTCGAACGCCACCCTATATGTGTCAGTTTAATCCCATAGAGATGATTTGGGCACAAGTAAAATTTTTCATTAGAAGCCATAATACAAGCGGCGAATTTACTATAAAAAAACTAGATGAAATTTCTAATAAGGCCATCGCTTCAGTAAGTGCCAGTGACTGGCAAAAGGTTATTGGACATGTTATAAAAATTGAAGATGAATATTGGGAAAAAGACAGTCTCATTCAAGAAATACAGGAAGAAATAATAATCAACATAGGAGGTGAAAGTGATAGCAATGACAGTTCCTCAGACAGTGATCATGACTCTAATCAGGATTGAAACTATACTAGATTGGCTACCTTTTAGAATTTTTAGATATTCATTTATTATACTATTGGTTTGTGGCTTTTAGTATCTCAGTAGAAAGTCTAATTCTATGTGTTGTTTATGGGTTATTTCATCAAGAAATTACTTTTTGTTTTCCTATATTTTTCTATTCAGTCAGATATTTTTGACTTGTTGTATTCTATTTTAGAAGAATGCATAATTTGTTTTGCTGTTCAATCATAATGCGTACATAGGAATATTACTTGTTGCCTAAAAAATATATTTATTTTGTTCTCAATATTCAGTGTTTGTGTATATTTATTTCTTATAATGTATGTTTGGTATCACGTCATTATGAATCGCAAAAAAATATTAATACTACCAGTTGTAATAAAATATAAATTCAATTAATAATTCAAGTCTCTCCGATCTCCGCCTATGACTCCATATAAAATCGTCTAATGGTAAGGTTTTTTCATCGCATTTCCCCCTTTCGTCCCTAGCAATCTTTGGCTGGTCGATCTATACAAGTTAGCTCACTTTTCCGATAGGCGCTTACGAGGGGGCTTGATGGTTTCCTCAACACTAGCATATCCTCACTTATCCGTTTGAACACCAACCACCTGCGAGGCTGCAATTGTAAACTAATGAAAGAAAGTTTCGAATTGCACCTCGCCAATGTTTCTTATCTAACCTTGTATATGATACCTGGAACAGGCTGCCCTACGACGTTGTTAATGCGTCAACAGTTAACAGGTTCAAGAATCGTTTCGACAGATGGATGCAGAACGAACTATAGTTTGCTTATGACATGATCTTTATTTTTCTTTCTTTGTTTGATTTCTTATATCTGTTTGGAGTTTAAAGCGTGCTTAACTCCTCTATTATGTAGAATAATAATAATAATAATAATAATAATAATAATAGTAATAATAATAATAAAGTATCCGTTTGGAGTTTCGGAGAAAGAATCGCTCCACGGTGAACTCTGCCTGTCGTACGAGGCGACTAAAAGAGAAACCCCGCAGGAAGCCAACCGAGAGCAATGGGCTATCCGGTGCGTGGCAACACCGCAGGGGTAAATCCGATGCCAAGTGGTACTAACGGCCGGCATCCTATGTATGTAGATGTACACTGGGAGTTATTTTCACATCCTACCATCTGAATGTCAGTCGGGGTCTTGGGTAGCCAGCTAAGGCCCTGGACCTTCACCTTATTGTTCCAAGCACAAGGAGAAGAAGCCTCGACTCCCGTCCCCATTCGGAAGGGAATTTAGAGCAAGGTGACGAGCCACGACAGTCCGACGATGAGATCGCGCGAACTTGGACTGCTGCATTACTATGAGGGCAGTGACCCACGTCGTAGGAGCTACATGTCTCGTATATATGGTAGGTGATGCGAAATGCATCCTGAGCATAGCGCGCTTACCTTTCAGAACTTGCGGTATTATGTAGCGTACCTGCGGAGGCAGAGATATGTTCGTACTCAAGCTCAGCGTGCTTCTCCAGGGACTGGAAGGCCTGTTCCAGAGGCTGCAATGTCGCCGTCAAGGCTCGCTAAGAGGGAAAGCCTCACCATACAAATAGTTCCACCTGAGGATCCTAACATAACACCAGGGGGCGCTTAAAGCTGGCAGAATTTAAGCGAGAGGACGAGGTTCTTCATGAGCGTCTCTCTGAGGACTCTGATGTCTGGCGTATCAATTGCGAAGCTTACGCTGCGCCTCCGAGGTTGTCTGGACAAGGGAGAGTGACAGACTCTCCTACCGAGAGAGCTCAGAGGCGCGAGCGCCAGCAGGAAGCGAAAATCCAGTTGGCTCGCAAGGAAGAATCCCGCATCCAGTGTGTGATGGACTATAGAGCGGGCCTTTCATGTCTTGTGTGCGCCGCATGACCTCCGAGGTCAGGCGCAACCTTCACATGCTCAATGAGGCGATACTTGCTGTTATCAAACAACATTGCTTCGGCAGGATACGGATGCTAATAGCTGCTAAGAGATCGTTGCTGGCGCGGGCGAAGGGTTTGGAGCAAAACAAATTGTTTTCTGAAAAGCTCGACCTTTTCCATTAGCGACCACCACCCATAGAGCTGCTGCCAACTGCTGATCACGTGGCGACCTCCTGGAGGGACACTTCTGAACGGCCTTGATGCAGTTTGGGCCCTTTCGTCAACCGACAACCATGGAAGAAATTCTTAGTGGCTTGATAGGTGCTTAGAATTTCGCAGCTCCTGGCTCGAATGGCATAAACACCTACTGGTGGAATAAATTTCCTAATTGCCACCGGCCACTACAATTTCCTGTTCGCTGCTAAATTCCACCTTGGTTTGTCGAGGACTGAACTGAACTACTCCCGAAGACCGGAATTTTGTCGGATCCCAAGAATTACAGACCAATAAAATGTCTTAACGCATTGTACAAGCTTTCCACTAGAATTTTATACATGCGTATACTCAAAGCTGTGAGCCCAGTATTTTTCAGCAGCGGGAATCAAAGAAAGAGTAGCTGGTTCTAAGGAGAACCTGACAGGACTCAGTGGACTCAGTGGAGCGAAACCTTTCGATGGCATAGATTGGGTATCCTGAGGAATTTTACACGATGTCCAATGAACTGTTTGTGCGTTGGAATGTTCTGCGGTAGATGGTCAAAT